CTTATGCCGGACAATTTACTTTGAGAAAGGTGGTCTATACATCCAGTAAACAAACATAGTGGGAAAAAGAGATTTCCCCCCCCCCGACCAATGTAAAATAGACAGTGAGGTCCACGAAATTTAAAAAGGCAAAACGTTATGGATTTGATTTCATCAAAAAGATTCAGATTGACAAGAGGTGGGCAAATTCTTCCCTCCAACTCTCCCTCGTATTGCTCCTGGGAGTCCATTGCCCCCCAGGAGCAGCATTTCAGGATGCATTTGGGAATGCTTCAGGAGGGAGGAAATGGCACTTCCTTGCATGGAATTAAGATGGGATCCAACCCTATGCCCTGATTTCCAGCCAGTGAGGTGTGCAGATGCTCCAAGTGATGTTTGTATTGACTCCACTTCATATGATTGCTGCATCTCGGGGACATATGATGCGCATCAATACCCAGGGTCAACAGCCTCATGTAACAAAACAGCCTTTGGCGTCTGTACCTGACACTTCTTCATCCATGCATGTCTCCATCTCCTTTTTGGGCTGAGTTTTCTGAGTCCAAAATGTCTGAACAAAACTTGTAAATGGTTCTTGTATTTTAAAACAGTGGTATGGAAAATTTGACATCAGAGCAGTAACAACGGAATACTTTCTAGTGTGTCCCACCCTGGGGTTTCATTAGTATCAGTTTTCATCCTTAGATGTTATTATGAATAATAAATAGCACCCATGTTTCATAGTTCTTGTATTTTAAAAAAGTGGTATGGAAAATTTGACATCAGAGCAGTAACAACGGAATACTTTCTAGTCTGTCCCACCCTGGGGTTTCATTGGTATCAGTTTTTATTCTTAGTTTCCTGCAGACACCGGCCACTGTGAATAGCTCAACTGTTGAAGAAACATAGGAGAAGCAGGCTGGGACAAGTGGTTCCATTTACAAAGGGAAGCTTGATCACCAAAAATCCGTGTTAAGAATGCAAAATTATTTTAAAAAGTGCATACTTCTCTGGGCTACTAGAACCAAATGATCAATCACACTTTGTCCCAATAATAGAAATAGCCCCCACCATTCCCATCCCCCCAGCAAAAGTGTTAGTACAAGCTACGATGGCTATATCTAAAAGAAGACCAGCTACAATCTACAGTCAATGCAGGGCCATTCTCCAATCAGTGTCTTCTTTATGGAAAGGATTATTCTCCCCCTCCCCATCTACCACCTTCATTTAGTTGGACTCACTCATTTTGTCTTTATGTGTCATTCAGGAATATGAAAACAGTGGTTGTCTCATTTTAAATTCAGCCCTACCACAATTCTGCTGCTGCCTCTGTAGAAACTAAAGGGGACAAAAGCAGCTACAGATCTTCAGCTGTAAGTCAAATGTCCACTCTGTATCCCTACGGACAGAGGAGACTTGTATGCCAGGGATAGAGAGGCTAGTCAGTAGGGATGAACTTTCAACAGGACAGCAAGAGCGGGTTCCTATAGTAAGAACACAGGGTTTCATTCAAGAGCAGAACTGGCTTTGATTGGCCAGTTTTACCTAGTGAATCCTATGATAGTGACATGTAGTATTTACTAAAGTATGACAACTGTCTCTTGGATCCAATGAGATGCATATCTAAAATATGCCACTCACCGCAGGTGCATGTAAATGGGGCATTGGGGGATAATTTAAAGCTGTTTGCATTCTTTCAATCCCTACAAGATGAACAGTGCTTTTACTTGCCACACATCCCATACTCATTGGCCCTGTAAGGCCTGGGGGCTCCTCATTTGGGAAAATGTCTTCCCAGGTCCCTGAAACTGGAATGTTAGAAACCTTATGCAGAAGTACCCTGAATCTTATAGCACCATAGGGTAAAAAAACCAAAGACAGCAATCCTAAACAGGGCAACTCAGGAATAAGTCTCATGTTATCCAGTGGAATCTATTCCCATGAAAGTTCTTCTTAGGCTTGCAACCAAGACATTCTAAGGAATGTCATGACACTAGGATCTACAAATCAGTATCCTGATTATTACAAAATTCATTTTTTGTGGGTAACACTGTGACCTTAGCAGCATGTACCCCAAGGAACCATAGTGATGCCATGTAGGCATTATTTTAGTTAGATATGCCAGCAGAATATCTTTGTGTTAATCCTGTCCCTGTAACAGAGGCTTAATGTGTGGAAATGTAAAGTTGAGGCTTTATATGGCACAGAGGAAGATTTCATCTGGTAAATGACATCTCATTAAGCCTCTGTTAAACAGGCAGGATTTCCCCCCCCTCCAGGCCTATTGGCAACTCTAATTTTAACACTTAATAGGCCATCTTTTGGGGGGCTTTGGTGCCCTTATTATGCTAACTTTCTAATGTTGACAATGAAATAGGACAGCTCAGAAGAACATATGTTGCCTCTAATGGCAAGTAAACCAAAAATTCTCAGAAATGATGTCATGGTTTCAATATCCAGATAGTTCACTAATAAATTTGTTTCTGTAATTCCTCACTGGTTAGAAACTGCAGATTTTTTTTTTAGAGAAGCAATAATAAACCCTTAACCATAGGCCTTAGAGATCAAGGATTACACAACCAGGATTTCAGAGAACGCCACTGATGGCTGAGAATAGAAACCATGTCTATGCTGTTAAGGGATCCCCCCCCCCCCAAGGCTTTATCAAAGGTGAATTGCAAAGGCAGACTGAACAGTTAGTAAAGCACCAATACCTGTGCTAATTGCCCATGGCAAAGAAACTGCTGGAAACATTTGGCACAGAAATAAGGTTTGACATATTAAAATTACGTTTTTGCTCAGTGAATTTCTCATACTAACTCTTGGATGCACTGAAGGAAGGGTGGGATGCAGCTTCACAAATATGTGAATCAAAATCATGGAAAATTAACCAAAGCATGGAATACTTCACAGACCATATCCTGCTGACAGGTTATCAATACAAGACAAAGAACCAAGGAAACTTCATGGGCAGAGAGGCCAAAGTTTTAAGTCTGCAGATGCAAATATATTTCTTTGCATTAGTCTTGATAGCTTGAGCAATCAGTAAAGAAACCTTCATTTAGTATGTCTCAACCTACAGAAAGTTATTTATGATTAATGCCTGATTGAAACCAAATGGTCTTCAGTTACAGTGTTATTCTGTGCAGATTTACATCCTTCTGTCCACTGAAGTGCGTAGGATGGCACTCTTAAGGCTCATCTAACTTTCCCCATCAGTTTCAATGGAAGTGAAGCACAAAGAATTTTCCCCGGACATTTGCGTATTTGCTGTATAATTTCTCTGAAAAAACCAAACACTGATCCATGAGACGATTTGTTAAATTCAACATTTCCTTACATGTGGTGGATTTTTTTTTAAAAGGAGACATATAACGAGGGCCAAGAATTACAGTGTGAACTTTTGTCTCAAATAAAACTACAATTCAAGTTTTGTTTATTAGATTTTTATCCCACTTTATCTCATGGGCTCTATAAATAATTTAGAAGTGCCAAACTTAAAGCCCAAAGCAGCCTTTTAAAATGTTATTTTGTATCTGTGTACATTTTCATTTCTACTTCATATGATAATCATGTTTAATTGGATTTATTCTTCTAATCCTAGTCCCCCAGTGGCCTACTTTACTCCCTTCCTTGAATGTTATTTGCCAATAACTGTTAGGGGGTTATTTTATTAATATCTTGATTTTGCATGTGTTTTCCTTTAATTGTATTTGTTGATTTGCCTTCATTTTAACCAGTTGTAGCCTCTTGTTGCAACAACATTCCAGCCTTTTAAAAGCTATGTCATTAAAGCAAGTGGGTACCCCTGGAACAAATACCTGAAAACTTGGACCCAATATTTGATTCTGAATCAACTGGTTACATCAGTGATGTAACCAGTTGATTCAGAATCAAATATTGGGTCCAAGTTTTCAGTGATCCATCTCTAGCACTGTGTCATATTTCCAACACCAACCAGTGATAATGGATGAAGAAATGCAAAATGATACCTGGAAGCATAAAATAGATAACATCTGCTATTTCTGTAGATCACTTCCTACATAAGTATACCTACATTTTAGGGCTACCACTGCAAGGGGATATATGCCCTAACCCTGTTACTGTGCTGTGTGCTAGTATTTGTCTTTGATATCAGATTGTTCTGTTGACCAATGAATTCCCCAAATCACGACTGTACAGTATGTAAACAAATATTCACCTTCATATTAAATTTGTTGCATTGGAAGCACTCTTATTAAAATAACTCACAATTGGGAGATCTGTGCTGTCCTTTCAGAAAGCACAGTGTTCTGGTACATGTGCTACCAAGAGCTTAAATGAACAGCTCAGCTGTTGAAGTCACCAAGGTTGACTGTTTTGGGATTAGTGATCTTTAGTCTGAATTCTCTGGTATGGACAAGTGGAGAGATTGCACATCTTCATTTCCTCTAATATTGTATAAACTGATGAAATACTGTGATCTTCCAGCATTGTCTGTTGCCTCCAATGGTTATTCTTAGAAAGAGATCAACTTAGTTGTGTAGGAAGTCACTTTGCAATTCGCGTGGGACTCCCAATGGTCTTCCATCCAAGGCAACCCCTGGTTAGCTTCAATAGTCCCAAGCCATTCACTTAGCCCATGTCTGACAGAAGGCCGATTCAGAAGCTGATGCATCATCTTTCCATATGGAACAGACATTTAACATGGAAGTGCTTTCAAACCAGGAATCTTTCAAGTGCATTCTGTGTTGGAAGCTGCCTATGAGAAACTGTACACAAGTCTGACTGACAGAGGAAGGAGGCAAGGGGGGGGGGTGAAGAGCCCAAAATGGGCTGAGTCACTTCAAACTTAAGATGACATGTTGGTAAAACCAGTGGTTTGAGAAATGATTCAGTTTGACAGCACTGGAGTGGGTAAACAAGGACTGAAACAATCAGAAGATAAATGTGAGGGGGCTGTTTTCTTTTTAAATTGTGTCTAAACTGTTTTCTTTTCCCTGGTTCATCTTACTTATTAAATTGATGGAGAATGACCCAGCTCAAAAAGCTACTGTGACATAAAGCATATACTGACCTGAAAAAGGATTGGGGAGTGTGGGTAATATTTTCTCTAAGGAGTGAGAAAAAAAGAACAGAACAATAAGCAACATGCAGTTTTTACATCCACAAGCAGCTGTTACAAACCTGAAGGGTCTCCCAACCTGAGACTGCTTGGATTCTACAGAATGTTTTTGAATCGCAGTGCAGCTAAGTGGATGACACCACATATTGGAAGGGAGAGGTAAAGAACCATCTGGAGGAGTCACAGCTGAATAAACAGCATACAGAATGTAAAGGGAAACACAAAGCCTGACTGCACTTGAGGAGCATGACCCAGCTTCCAAGTACCAACATATCAATATCCCCCAGTCTATCAATATCCTCCAGGCTTTCTTTTGCCTGGATTGTTTTCCAGTGGAATTATGCATATTATGCATTGACACTGACTTTGAACTGGAACCAGTGAACAAAATTTGACATACCTTTTCATACTATCTGAATGCCCCCCCCCCCAATCTCAATGTCTCCATCTCCAAAAAAGTATCATAGTCTCTTTTGTAAAAAGTAGATTTTCTGAAAACAAAACTCGTTGCAATGTTTGGAGAAAGTTGAGAAACACAAAGGACCCACTTTTAAATCTTGTTGCCATATGGCACTACTAACCAATATTGCATATTTGTAGTTCTTGAAGCAGGGACTCCTAAACAACAGGTGCTTTCCAAACAGTAACCAATGGATGTTTTACTGACCATTTTGCAGCTGTTTCCATTTAACTTCCAAAGTAGGAAAGAATTTAGTTAAGACTGTAAATTTCCAAAAATGTACAGCTGAAGTGATAGCTATATGAATGCCATATTGATGTACAATCCAAGTTGGCTTGAAGTTCCTTCTCACAAGTCAGATAGAAGCACCTAGGTCCCATTGTCCCAATATTACACACTGTGAAATTTGGGCATGCTTATTGTAATAATCAAATTCAGGAATATTGTTATATCAAAAAGCCAGACAACTGAGATTTGGTGCCTGTAAACGTTAAATGGATATTATTTCATTTAGGGGTAGACTGGCCTCTTTGTTGCTGTCTCCCCAACAGAAAACATCAGAATCAAGAGTTATGTCAGAGAGACAGCAGTGGTGTCGGATCTTGCTGACCTGACCAATACCCTAAATATCAGGCATCTTATTGGGTCAGCACTACCCAACTGCACACCCCAAGCAGGGAGAAGGGCTTCTAGAATTCAGCACCAACTTCATTGAGATTGAAGGCAATCTGGATTCTCAGACAAATTGTTTCCACGTACCATAATTCTGAATGATATCTGAATTTAATGCCATTAGGGTTATTAACATTGGCTTGGGAAGTTCCTGGAGTTTGGGGGGCAGTGCTTGGAGAGGTTGAGGAACAAAACAGGGATCTGATGCCATAGATTTAATCTTCTAAAGCCACCATTTCCTTTAGAGGAACTGAGCTGTGGAACTCCAAGCCCCAACTTGAGAGTGGTATAAGGACTTGGTATGTTCTGTACATACATCTGGAATTAACATCATAAACTTAAGCAAATGTACACCTACTACTTTAAAAACTACAGGCTGTACACAGATGTCATGACATGAACCTCCAGTCAGTTTTGCTGCAGTGCTGGCACAGGCCTGTGACTCCTTCCAGCTGACTCCTCTTCTAGTGCTTGATCAAGTTCCAGTTCACCAGAGCAACCAAGGAGGGAGACGGGAGGTGTGAGAGGAGTGCCTGAGCACAACCACAAACTGTGCTTATGCTTGATTGGAGTTTAATCACACTTGTTTCAATAGAACCCTAAACTCCCAGAAGTAACTTTGCTTACAAAATTAATATAAGCCAAATTCCCCAAGATGAGCATTTGGGACCTGCATGAGGCTCATCACAGGTTAAAACATTTCTTGGGCATCAGTCAATCATTATTTGCGTATACACATCTTCAGCCCCCAACAGTGCTACACTCCTTAATGCAGAGCTCGCTGTGTTTTTATAACCTGACTTGTCAGAAATTCTGCAAACCAATCGGGATGTAGCAGGTCAAGTACATCCTTGTGACTAATGACAGATCTCCTTGCACTAACTGCCTAAACGGGAGTGTTTGAAGTCACAGCAGGCACTAGAAGGTATTGTCTTCTTGCTTGGAAAATCCACAGCTAGGCTAGAACTTCATGTTTATAAAGCCATGGGGGCCTATTGTTCCAGTCAGCTGCAGCCAGTGACAAAACCTCCTTGTTATTTAGTGTGCTTAAATAACTTAAGCCCATTACCTTTCTCTCGCACAGCTGGTGAGGCACTTCTTCTTGCAAGCAGTTATGCTAAAGCGTTCTGGCCTCATTACCACATGGCTTTGTATGAAACCACAGTACCTGCACCCTGCCAACTGTGCAACACCCTTCTTATTCCACCCCATTTCTGCCTATTAATTCTGCCTTGACTCGTAACTCTCCTTGATACTATAGCTCTGTGTGAAACATTTTAAGGCAGGCATGGAATGGAAAGGGGGTGAGCCACAGTTCTGCCTAATGTCCCATTCATTGCATCCTAACGGAGTCCCCATGTTAACAACTGCTACCAGATAAAGCCTTCTTTAAATTATTCCCTGTGGCCTCTGTCTCTACAAGTGCGGGATGCCGCATGAGAACTGGGAAGTTTTCTCCAGAACATCACTGGAGATTGAATCTGGAGAGTAAGAAACAACGGCCTTTTTGCCATGGTAGTGCTGAGAATCTTGCTCAGTCCATATGATGGTCTGTTTCATGTTAGTGGCTTGCCAAGTAATGATAGCTGCTCTGTAGATTTACTTACTAGGACTTTGATTTCTTCTACACTAGCTACTGACTCAATAAAAGAAGCCATGGGCTTCAATTTGCAAGACCTGGGAATGGCTGCTAACAGTAGGACGTTTTGGAGAATGTTAATTCATAGGGTCACCATAAGTCAGAAGTGACTTGATGGCACTTAACACACACACACACACACACACACACACACACACTAACACACACACACACACACACACACTATTTATGTATTTACTTATGGCATTTATATAGCATTTGTAGTCAAGAAAGGCTTTCAAAAGAGACAAAACAGTGGTATTTAACTTTTCCAAATCGGGATTCACTAATCTGCAAGCATGTTACAGGAAGCCATGTGACAGGAAGAGGTGTCAAAGCCAACACTAGGCAGAAAACCAAAAGAGCTCAGGGCAGAAAACAAGCCAAACCCAGGAGGTGTATTGTAATGAGACAAAAGACAAGGGTCAGAGCTATGGAGGACTCATCTCCACCATGCTATGACCCTACTCCATCTTGCTGCTTCCTTTCTGTGTAGCATCCTTGCTCTCTACTCATGTGCATTTAAAGCAGGTTCTTCCCAAAGGAAAGGGCTTGCAAGCCAGCAGGGAGGGTACTCTTATGGCTTGAAGATTGCCACCTAACAGCCACATTTATAGTCTACAAAATCAAACAAGCCTAGTCTGGAATGGACATCATTTGCTCACCTGGTTTTTATGGAAGAGCTCACCAATGTGTTGTATTCCAATATTTGGGGTGTTTGTGCATTTTGTCATACCTGACCTGTGGTGACTTTTTGTTTACTTTAAAATGCAACTGCAGTACCACTCTCTCCATTGTAGAGTGACAAAGTCCTATTGAGGCTCATCAGGAGTACTGATAATTTTGCTTCTTACCTTGTTCTATAGCTAATTCTAGTTCTGAACTAGAATTGGCTGAAATAGCTTTCACTTATTTTCTGTTCACTTACTATGGCTGCAGTGGTATAAATTCTTGCTTTTCTTTTAGCAGCCAAAGTAATTTCTCCTTAACTTTTTAATTCTTGCCATTGTGCTTTTTTATTATTGCCACTGTACTATTACAAAATTCTGATGATGAAAAATAAAGAAAAACATTAATGAGCAATTGCCTTAGCTGTAATAATTAAAAAAAAACACTAATTAAAGCATAACTCTCAACTCCTACCCCAGGAAAAGAAAGGACATTTCAGCAATCTGTGATCATAGGGAACAAGAAACAACTAACCAACCTGAGAAGCTGCTATAAAACTACCTTAAGCCTCTAGTGTTGTCTTCAAAGGAAACAAACTGTAAAGACTGCCTTGGATTTCCTGCTTGTTTCAAATATTACTAACAGACGCTATGTTGTAGAATTCTGCATTTAGCTAAAAGATTAGAAAAAGAAAAGAATGGACAGAAATCTTCTCAGGAAATTTTTATTCCTGAATCTCTGTTTTATACTTGAATCTCTGAATTTCTATTCCATAGTAAAGACTTGTGAAATTCATATTTGCTAGTCCCCCCTCCCAGTGTTATTACCCCCCCCCGGGCTGGACTCAGGAGCAGATTCCTCAGATGATGACCAGGAGGAGCTAGAGAGCATTCTGAGGGAAGACCAGGAGGCTCAGGGGACATCCAATACCATCAGACCCCCTTCAGACCAAGGGCCTCTTCCAGACCCAGAGCCCCTGGATCCTGAGGCCTCAGTCTAAGGACCTACCCCACCTTGGGCAGCCAGTCCCATGCCTTGTAAGGCCATACCCTGGACTACCAGTTCTGTAAGTCCGCTCAACCCCGGCTGACAGCAACAGAGATAGCTGGCTCACGAGGAGGCAAAGCAGTGATGAAGAAGAGCCAGGCTGGCAGCCTGTGTTCCAGCTACTAAGTCAGATCACTGCCGAATTGCTCATAGCACTTTGCAGGATCAGAGCTCAATCAAGTCCTGGCCAGATGAAGCCCAAAAACAGGTGGGGCTTCTTGCACTCCAGGACAGTGCTGCTTGTGAGACTGGACCCAGCATCCAGCTTCAAGCCTATTTGAGTCAGAACACCCTCCCCTCAGCACACAATTGGTTGCATGATTGTTATCGATTAATCTGTTTTGAGGTTCAGTGCAAGTGCTCTATTTTTTCCTGAATGCCTCCCAGATCTCTATCCACTGATACCACTAAAGAGAAGAAAATTTGATCAATTAACCTACTACTGGTTATCAAACAACTGAGAGGATTATATATATTAACCACACGTGTCTGCGGTCAATGCTTCACAAGGTGACAGAAATCTGTCTAAAGCAAATGCCCCCTTTCATGTTGTATTTAGAGGAGCTGCCTCTGATGCGGTGATCACTGTATTTCTGTAGTGATGATAGCACTTGGGTATTTCCGATCGATTTCAGAGCATTGTCCACCTCCTGCAGTTTGTTATTACTCCTGTTGCTGTATGTTCAGACTCTTTTCCCTCTCCTGCCTAGCTCAGTTTCATTTCTGGGCATAAATCCTCCTGTTCCTAAAAGACACTAGGAATGTCAGGTATAAATCTCAACTGAGGACAGACACTTTCATCTACCTCGGGCCTGGTTGCTTATGGACCAAAGCATCTTTGGTTTTAGCCTGTCATTGCTTATTAAGGCCCACCTCTACCCTTTTCACAATACTTCTGGGATCAACTGGTCATTTGTTTGGCTCCTTTCCTAACTGTTTTTCCAGATAATTTGCAGGACCCAATAAGCCCCACTTCCCCCTTCTCTCTCTCTCTTCCTTACTTGCTATGGGCAAAGCTACAAACATTTCATTTTGTCCCCATTCTACAGTTTCAATCTCAGCCACTGTCATTTTTCAGCCACCACGGAACCTTCCGGCACTGGCATTCCATCTGCCTCTCAAAGGGGAGGATAGCTTTGAACAAATTTGTTCTCTATTAAAAAGCATAAAAAAGATTTTTTCCCCCTGATGCTTCAGTCCCTTTGATTCCAGAGAAGAAAACCACTCGAAAGGGGAGGGGTTGTATCTCTTGCTCTAGTTTGTTCTTGGATGTGAAGCCAAGCAGGCTTGGAGGGGTATTTCAGACTGGTGTGTGCTTCTTTATCCTCCTTTCTAAAGCTAATGATGGCCAATTATAGACTACCAGATTTCCAATTACAGACTTCTTTAACACAGGAATGCTAAGTTTCTTCTGGTCTCCAAAGACTATATGGATAATTTGCTCAGTTTTTCCACCTTATCTGAAAGTTATGAAGTGTTCATCTGTAATCATAAGGGGCTGCCACTTTATTTTTCACAAAGATTTCCATTATGTACATAGTTAATTGGATGCTGATGTTAAGAAAAATAAAAGACCTCTTCATATTTTTATTTCTTAAAGCAGCTAAGCATGTTACACTGGCATGAGAAGAACAGGAAATGCAGATTCCTTGTGCTTCCTCTGCCTTGTCACCATGTCTAGCATAGATATTTTTCTGTTTCTCCTAGTGAGAGATATTCAAATTGGCCCAGTATTAGGAGCCTTAATACATCCTTAACCACAGAGAATGGAGATGATGGAGACGAAATCAGGACCATCTGAGTAAGACCCGGGCTGAGCATCTGCCCCTCTCCTTTTTGAGAGGATTTGGAGCCCTTGGTTAGCCATGCTGACAGATCCAGCACCTGCCCATGACATCCTTATGGCTTGCCAACATGCTTCAAGGGTGTACCAGGGACCTGCTGCTTTCTATATTTCTGGTTTTTGTCTGTACGCTTCATTTTGTAAGTCACTTATTACAACACTGGGGGCAAAGCAGGGTAAAAAAAAAAGAACTAACTAAACAAATTGTACACCAATGCAAAGAAAAGCAATCACAAGGCACTTGGTTTCCTGCTCTGCTCACATCATCTAGCATCCTAGTTGCTCTCAGTTGCACAGCTTTTATTGGCTCTGAATATCTGGCATTATTATGAGTACAGCAGACTTTTATAGTTTGTCTATCCTAGGGCCGCAATCTCTACAAACCCCAGAGTACTACATCCATGTACACTCCAAGTGGTTTTATTTGCAGTTTCTTGTTCAACAGCTGCCTGTGACAATCTCCCACTCCTCTGTTACTCTGACAACTGCTACCCCTCTGTCATTTTGAGCATCTCCCTCCACTGTAAGCATAGCATAAAGCAATTATACCTTGGTCAAGATCTAGATTTTTTGTAATGTGAAATGGAACACTCGGTGACACTGGAGACTCTCGCATACTACCACAAAATACAAATAGATTCCCATATGTGTCTCTTTATCCCTCAGGCACCCCTATATCTGCCATTGGCTTTCTGTATAAAATTGGGCTTGTTCCTCTCAAGGTTCTTACTCCAGTTTATCCATTTGTACAACTGTATTGACAACATTAATCCATCTCCTGATCATTTACGAGTTTATATTCTTCACTTGCTGCAGCTTCTGAGATCATCAGAGGTACTGGTAGTGGACTCATTCAAACCATTAAGTTAAGTTTGACCTCAGGGATATTTCATTTCAGTAAAGACCTTATAAAGAAACTAGAAAAAGAAATATTGCCCATATATAATGCCCAAGAGAAATTACAGATTGCTCTAACATATAAAGGTCTGGTCTGAAGGTCTGATGGGAAAGCAAAGAAATTATTATTTTTAAAGTGCTGTTTAGTTAAGGAATCGTGGTGATTGCTCCTCAAAATCAGTTATACCAAAGAATGTAGAGAAGGGCATTTTCAGAAAATATAAAAATGCCTGCAAAATCTAGCAAATGGAAAAGTTCTGGCTGGTTTATAAGCCTCATTATTTCCCCCCAGAAAATATAAACTTGTGCCTAATGGGATACTGTGCCATTTGTTGGAGGTCTCAGGCTGATCTCTAATAATCTAGCAGTCCTTTCGGCAGAATGAGTTAACACTTGGATTTCAGACTATTTATTATTTTCCTATAGAGCAAATTTATTTTCAATGTGCAATGACGCAAAGCTAGACGGAGGGCCACTTCAAATACTGTAAGCTGCCTTGAGAGTTGTGTGCTGAAAGGCTGGAGTATAAATTCCCTAAAGGAAATAAAGAACTACCTTTCCTACACAGATAGTCATTTTTCATGGGGAAAAAATACAATCAGCTATAGTTAGCACAGGCTTCCTGTCTTTTACATTAGTGTTATATTTAGCATTATCTCTTCCCACAGCCCCTGCAACATGCTACATCCTTTCAAATCCTTGCAAAACCTTTTTACTCATTCTGTTTTTGGTCTCGGTTCCCTCTGCTTCCTCTCTTCACCCCTTCCTGTCTTTGCCACATTTTTTGCTTCTTTCTTACATTTGCAGAGCTATATCATACCCAGATGTTCAAACACCCCTTTAATGTTTTGGCTGCCACAGAACATTTTCAGTATCAATATTCTGCCTTGAAATATTGATGATTTTCCCATCCCCTTGAACCCCTGCTTCTTTGAAGAACTATGGCAGAGCAAAACACTTTGTTCTGTTACAGTTTAGGTTTGGTTTGAAAGTATGAGCCTACATGTGGCTTGTGTATTAATGATGCCTTGTAGACACTGAGTGCCGGGCCCGAAACACCTGAAGGGCATCCTTAAGTCATGGCAAACGTTTTTGTGACACCGAATGGCTGCTTCCCTTCACCTTTTGTCATACTTACTGTAAAGAAATAGGCTAGCATTTGTGATTCCCAGTTTGTTGGTAGCCACGCAAGTGTAGTTGCCGTAATGTTCTTCAGTGACGTTGGCCACTGTCAGGAAGGACTGGCTCCCCGTGCTTCTGATCTCCAGACCATTGGCATTATTTATCCTGAGGAACCGAGAAAAATAATTGACAGGTACCGTAACAACGTGGAATGACTCTCTTATTGGAAAAAGTGAGAAAGATGGGGAAACAGATTTGAAGGCAGGCAGACAGAGATGGTGTGAGACAGGGATACAAGACATACAGAAAATAAAGAAAAAATACGATTGTAATAAAAATGACAAAGAAGGGGAGAAAACAGGAGACTTTGTGCATAATAATAAACATTATTATTTAGCTTTATTTTTTATTTCATTTCTGGTATTTTGCTATCTAAATTAGATTGGAAGCCCATTGGGCAGGACCTTTCGTTTTATGTGTTTTGCACAGTGCTGAATTTTTAGGAGCTTCACAATCAATAAATATCACAATTAAATTAGAATGGAGACAATAAAAGCTGTGATGAAGGTAAAAAAAAATGACAGAGAAGGCAAACAAGAAATTAAAAAGTAAGATGGGGGGGGGCAGGCTTCAGCACAGAGACAGTACATTTCTTGCACAGGTATGTACTTGACCAAAGTTCAGCTTAAATGCCTGCCTGTTAGACTGTTGTTTGAATCAAGGCTGACCTCTGATGTTGGACAGATCTTGTATGGAACCATATATTCTTCCCCGTCAGTGTGTTTCCTTTGCAAAGTAGGGCAGGGGAAGCACCATTTCCTGCAGTGGTAGGCAGGAGCAGGGCACTTAAACCTTCTATGACCCACTCATTTCCCTTTATACATTTCCCCCCCTTGTAGATCACAAACCTCTGATTCTGTTGCAAAAACCAACCAGTGAGCAGGATTGGAAGTGGAAAGCAAAAGATGAAAGACAGTATCCTACATGAACACATGAAGCTGCCTTATTCTGAGGCCAGGCCACTGATCTACCATGGCATATATTGTCTAGTTGGACTGGTAGTGGCTCTCCAGGGTCTCAGGTAGAGGTATTTCACATCACTTCTACCTGACCCTGTTTTTATAAAAAACAAACCCTAGAGATGCTGGGGATTGAACCTAGGACCTTCTGCATGCAAAGGAGATACTGTTCAGGTCACAGGAGAAAACAGGGGATTAGATAGATTGATGGAGGATAAATCTGTCAATGGCTATTAGCCATGGTGACTGAGGGGAATCTCCACATTGACAGGCACTAAACCTCAGAATCCTAGAGCCAGGAGGCAACATCAGGGGAAGGCCTCAGCCTCTATGCCCCAGAGGAATTGGTTGGCCACTGTGTGAGACAGGATGTTGGGCTAGATGGACCACTGGTCTGATCCAACTAGGGTTGCCAAGTCAGACTTACCTTGCCGGTGAGGGACTCCTGGGTGGCTTTTGGCGAGTGCGCGCGAGAGCCGCATGCACGTCACAGGAAAGTGACGTTATGACGCCGGGCACTCTGGGGGCGGGGCCACGACCATACAAGGGAAAACCATAGAGTGGCCGTGGCCCCGCCCCCAGCGTGCCCGGCGTCATAACGTCACTTCCCTGTGACGCGCACGCTGGGGCGGGGGCCCCCCTGGGGCTCGATTCCCCGCCGTCGGGGAACAGGCCTCTGGGGGGGGGGGGTTGCCCCCCCCGGGGGGACTTGGCAGCCCTAGATCCAACAGAGCTCTTCTTATGTTTCTATGTTCCACTGAGCCACAGCTTACATTTTCCCATAAAAATGGAACACTCCTATATGCACTCTGCAAAGCACTGGTGCCTGGATTCTTATGATAATCAGTTCTGCCTTTTTATAAAAGAAAAAGTTTAGTAAATAAACAGTAGACCCCAAAAATCTTAACTGTACCAATGCCCAGTTCTACAGGATATAAACAAAGATAAAGAAAAACTCTTGAAATAAACACCAGTAGGGGGATATGAATTTGGTTTTGAAAAAAATCATGATCATTGATAAAATGGGAAGCCAGAATCAAAGGAGGGGCAGAGTCTATGACCACCAAATTTGTGAACAAAACAAAAGTGGGACAGTGAACGCAAGCATTTTTTTTTAGCATAAGCTGCAGAACAATGATCTTTTTAAAAAGAGAGAACAAGTGGCTCAGGGGGTTTTATGAGACATCAAAGGCAGCTGAAAAAAAGATGATAAGTTTAATTACCTTGTGTCATCTCTGTACCACTCAAAATCAGGCGTAGGCACAGCAGAGGCTGCACACTTGAGTGAAGCTTGTCGTCCTGTAGCAGATTCATTGCTCTTGGATTCCGTGATGGTGGGAGGGTCTGCATGAGAGAAACACTTGCTCATGTCACTTGCCATCTATGTGATAAAAAGGAAGGTATATATTTGTAGCTAGGTTGGGGAGGGGGTAAAAATGCCATTGACAGTGTCAAGATAAGCAGCGTTATACCCTTCTGACCCCATTGGCTTTGGACTTAGAGGGAAGGGTTGCCAGGTCCCTCCTGGCCACTGGCAGGGTATGGGGTAGTAGAGCTGATGGATCCGGGCTGGGAAACTGCTGGAGATATGGGGATGGAGCCTGGGGAGGACAGGGACCTCAGTGGGGTACAATGCCATAGAGTCTACCATCCATAGCAGCCATTTTCTCCAGGGGAACTGATGCCCGTAATTCCGGGGGATCCCCAGGTTCAACTTGGGGGCTGGCATCCCTATGAAAGCGGTACAACTCTCCTTAAGATGGCATTGTAAGTGTGGTAGATATTATTTTATTTTTTAGTATTTTTTTTATTGTTTCAACTTTTACCCCGCCCTCCCCACCGAAGCAGGCTCAGGGCGGCTTACATAAAAAACAATAAAACAAGATACATATCACAATAAAATACATAAAACATGACATAAAACCGTTAATATATCAATGGTGGTACAGTATAAAAAAGTACATTCATGAACACCATCAGCAGTGGATACCATTCTAGGTAGCTTCTAGCTCTAGGGCTTAGCTGATAACTGAAATGCCTGCCAGAAAAACTCCGTTTTCACAGCTCTGCAGAAGTGTGAGGGGTCCTGCAGGGCCCTGATCTCGCCAGGGAGCTCATTCCAGCAGGTCGGAGCTGCCAAAGAAAATGCCCTGGTCCTGGTTGATGTCAGCCTAGCGTCCTTCAGACCAGGGAGGGCCAAGCGGTTTTGTGATCCTGATCTCAGTGCTCTCTGGGAAACATGAGGGGAGAGGCGGTCCCTCAGGTAGGCAGGTCCCAGGCCATAAAGGGCTTTAAAGGTCAAAAACAGCACCTTGAAGCGAATCCGGTATGCTATTGGCTGCCAGTGCAGTGTCTTTAGCACAGGCTGGATGTGCTCCCACATAGGGAGACCCATCAACAGCCTGGCCACCACATTCTGCACCAGCTGCAGCTTCTGGAGTTGTACCATATTAAGGCTTATCTAGATTTTAATAAGAAATTGAAAGTCCCCTTTGTATGAAAGACGGTTGTCAAGAAATGCCAACAGTGGAGAGAGAAAATCAGCATCTGTGAGCCACTGACTCACTCTTAAAATACCATTTTGCACATGTTGTTTCTAAATTCTGCATTGGTGGCATCAGAAGACTGGATAAGACTGGACACAATGCAGAGAACTTATGTGGAAGAAATGCTGGGGGGGGGTATTGAAGGTTTGTTTCACCTAGGGTGGGGCAGTCTGAACCTATGGGAAGCATGTCCTCCCTGGAGGCAGGCAGTATCACTGACAGTTTTGACCCCCTAGGGGAGGAGCTTCTCTCCCCACCTCCCAGGCTGGATCTGAAGCCGTCTATCTCTTACACACAAGTATCACAACAGAAAAAAGAAGAAAAACCAAAACCAACAGCCAAACCAAATGAGTACAACAGAGAATTGGTGGAAGCACCAAACTCTGAAGATTAAACAGAAGACCCGCAAGAGCCCCACCAAAAGGGTTCAGGCCCCTGGGACCCAAGCAGCATACTTTAGCTAGGCCACAGGCCATTCTGGGAAAACTGTCTATACCCCTGCGTGGGAAGAGACTGCCCCACCCTAGGAGCACTGAGAAGGGAGATTCACAGTAATGAAACGAACCTTCCATGGTAGAGGGTGGGGCAGTCTGAACCTATGGGATATAGAAAAGCAGTATGCCCTGGGATTAGGCTTGCCAAGTCCCCCCGGGGGGTGGGGAAACCCCCATCCCAGAGGCCTGTTCCCCACCGCCAGAGGATCGGGCCCTCAGGGAACCCCACCCTGGCATGCGCGTCACCAGGAAGTGACGTTATGATGCTGGGCACGCTGGGGGCGGGGCCAGGGTCATCCGAGGGAAAACTCTATGGTTTTCCCTTGGATGGTTGTGGCCCCGCCCCCAGCGTGCCCGGCGTCATAACGTCACTTTCTGGTGATGTGTGTGCAGCGCACGCACACAAAGCGTGCACGCACGCACTCCAGCCGCAGACCGGGAGTCCCCCGGTAAGAAAATTTTTCCACTTGCCAACCCTACCTGGGATGGTGGTGGTGGTGGTGGTGGTAAAGAATTAAAACCTTAGCCTGAAAACTGAAGGCTTCATCAGCAGAAGCTCCCTTGTCAATACGGCAGCATTTGGTGAAAGAATGAACCTTTAGGTGCATGGCAGACCACCTAAAGGAAGAGAAAGCCCCCTATGCTGTCAAAGCTGTCACTCCTCTGAGCAACTGAGCTGTTATGCCCAATGGGGGGTCTAGGCCCCTGGCCTTATACACCAGAAGAATACTCCCTCTGACCCATCTGCTAAAGGTAGAGGTAAAAAAACCCTTCCTCAAGGATGCCTTCCTAAAAGACACAAACATAGAATCTGACTTGAGAAAGGCCTCAGTCTGCTCCAAGTAGAAGCTCGGCACTCTCTGAACATCTAAGCAATGCCATTCCCTTTCCTGGGGATGTTTAGGGTTAGGGCAGAATGGCCGGCGGCAGGTAGAAACCCCCCCTCAAAACGGGGGACCCCTGGCAAACTGGGGGGTTTGGCAACCCTACTAAACTGCAAATGTTCAAACTCCAGGCTGTGAACCTTAACATCTCAGGTTGAGGATGGAGGAGGGGCCCTTGATAAATGTATTTATTATTTTGGCTTATATCTCACCTTCCCCATATTGCAGGCTCAGGGTGGGTTCCAACATATAGGTCTGCAATTTATGCAGATTTACATTTAAAATCTGTAAAATCAATAAAAACATCACATACTAAAACAACAACACCTCAACAGAAAACACTGTGGTCCCAATCTGGCTTCACAGATCTGCGGTCACTGGAAGAGAGGCCAATCAAGTGGATGCCTGCTGCCTCAACTAAAGCCCCAGCAGAAGAGCTCCAACTTGCAGGACCTGTGGAACTGTAACAAGTCCTGCAGGGCCCTGATCTCATAAGATAGCTCATTCCATCAGGCAGGGCCCAGGGCGGAAAAGGCACTGGCCCTTGTTGAGGCAAGTCAGACATCCCTAGGGCCAGGGACAGCCAGGAGATGTTGACACAATGTTCTATAGGGCTCATATGAAGAGAGGTGGTCTTAAAGATATAAAGAAGGTCCTTCCTGATTGGAAGGTGCCATGGCTCATCAGAGAATAGCTTCACTAGGTCCTGGAACCAAGAATGGCATGGCCAAAGTGAAGCTATCAGCAGCGCTCTCGCGCAGGCTCGGGGGACCTGGGTGCGGGGCTTTCTGGGCCTCCCCGGAGCCGCAGCGCTTCTACGCGGGCTGCCGGAGCGGTGCTCCAGCACGCTCCGGCCCCAAAAGACCCCTGGATATAAGACTTGGCAGTCATGTTGTCTGTGTGCACAAAGACATCCTTCTTGGCTAGGAGATCTTGGAAGGCTTACAGACCCCACCTGATTGCCCTGAGTTCCAGAAAATGGATGCTCTGATGGGTCCCTTCCTGGGACCAGGGTCCCTGAGCCACCCTCCCGTGGACTGAGCTCCCTACCCCTGAAGGCTGTCATCCATTGTCAGCAGTGTCCTGTTTGGTTCTCTGAGAGGTGACACTTCTAGGAGTCTGGACAGGTGCAGCCACCATTGAAAATCCTGAAGGAGACTGTCTGGAAGCTTGATCAATTTGTGCCTTTTGTGGGGTATCATGATCTGGAAGGGGAGAAGAAGCCTCTGGAGAGGTGAGCATGGAGTCACATCCTGACAGGAGATTAGCATCCCCAGAAGTCTCACCAAAAGCATGACCTCTGAGTGGGACTGCTGGATAATCTCTTGTATCAGAGGAGAAGTTGAAAAGGATGTTGTCCAGCTATGGAAACACACAAGTGCCTGGGTTCTGAGAAAAGCAATGAACATGACCAGCACCTTTGTGAACACTCTTGGGGCAGTCTTGAGCGCAAAGGAGAGGGCCCTATATTGGAAGCGCCTCCCAGTGTAGGTGAGGCAGAGGAACCTCTGGTGAGTTTCCCAAATAGGTATATGGAAATAGGCCTCTGACAGATCTATTGATGCCAGAAAATCCTTGTTTGAGATCTAAGAAATTATAGATTTGAGAGTTTCCATTCAGAACTTTTCTTGAGAGCAAGCAAGTTTGGCATAGTGGTTAGGAGCGCGGACTCTAATCAGCCCACCTGGGCTGCCATTCCAGAACAATTTCCCACTTTTTTTTAACTAGAGAAAAACTATGAAGAAACACTACCCTGCTTACCCCCCAAGCCAGTTTTCCTGCCTTACTTTGGAGCTGGTTGGGATGACCACACAGTGAGGTGGCCTGTCACTGAGCCAAGAGCCTGAGGGCCGCAGGAGGAGGAAGATGGAGCTCCCACCATGGCAACCGCCGATGCTCCATGGCCCTTTGGAGCAAGTGGGCATGCTCCTAGCCCAAAGGCTGGAGTCCCTGCTGATGTCCTTTGCTCTTTTGAGGAGGGAAAGGAAGGGAAGGGTGATCCCTTCCACTGGCAGCTCCGACGGCTGTTATCTTCCTTAGGGCTGGCCTCCTCCTGAGTATGAGTCCAGGTGGCTGTATCTCGTTGTTTCCCACTGAAGGGGGGGGAGGCTTGCAGAGGTGAAAGGCCTCACTCAGCCAGCCACATGGCAGTTCTCTCCCTACGATCCAAGTCCTACCACTCCAGAGAAAAGGAGGGGGGAAATTGAGGGGGAAGAGAGAGAATACCAAGGAACAGAAAAGAAAAAAGGGGGGGGAATGATTGTTGGTTCATGAGAGCACTGAGCTCTAAACAGAGCTGAGTCAGTGACCTCTAACTGCCCTGTAGGCAGGGCCAAGACTGGGAGCTGGGGAGAGAAGTTCCTCCCCAGGTGATGAAAATTGTCAGTGACCATGCCTGCCTCCAGGGAGGAGCTACTTCT